GATTGCAGCGGGCAACATTCCTGCAACACCGATCTTAGTTTAGACAATAAGGTTCTTCGACAAATTAGTTGTGTTTTACGAAATACTTTAGGCCACTTGCCTCATATTTTCAATCACTCTTAAAACTAAGTACATGAAATGTTGTATTTTACACAGAATTTTGTAAATAATAATATCGGCAACTGTAGCCTCCTTAGGTGCGCAAACCACTTTCATCGTGGGTTAATTAGAAAGTCGACATGACCTAGTAGGCTAGCCAAGTCAAGCGATCAAACTGAGCCCAAAGCCTTTTTATGAATTAAGTAGGTCTCCGTTTGGTGAAGTACATGTAGTACGGCCAAGTGAGGGCCACTCATTGCATTTATGACGGGAGGCTCAGAAAAGTGACCCATGGACATATAGCCTTTATATAGCACATATGCTGGAATGATTGGTCACATACGGCAAATGATTTCCGTACTACATATACTCGATGGGTACCGACACATCGTCTATTGAGTATTGTACTCACTGCCCACCATCTACAGCGAATTGAGAGCAATTTCAATTTTCTTAAATGTTGCATTGCTGTGAAATAATGCTGCCTTAATTACCGTCACTTCCAAAATATGGTTTCAGTTGCGTAATACCTATCCAAATATTGAGTGGAAGTAGGCTTATGTAACTGACAAAAATTCAATGACAATTATCCTATTGAGATGAAAGTCATAAAGCATTTGAACATCATTTCAATTCCATTAAGTCGTTAAGACCTTTTAGAACCAAAAACGCTTTGAAAAATTGAAAAATGTCATTAGGAACATCATTAGGGACGAAATTAATGAATTATGCATTTAAAGTGAATCTTCTGTAATTATAAAGATATCAATGACGTTCTTTACTTTCCACAGTTATCAAATTCTACTCAAGAACTCCGTTTACATCAGGGATGGATTAATTAAGTGCTGGATATTTTATTTAGACCTAGCTCAGGGTTAAAAGTAGATGTTATACGGGCCCAGTGCGGAGTCTGTTGTATTTGTTAATTGGCAGGGCCTAGTGTGGATTCTGTAGTAGATGTTATACGGGAGGGCCCAGTGCGGAGTCTGTAGTAGATGTTATACGGAAGGGCCTATTGTGGTGTCTGTAGTAGATGTTATACCGGACGGCCTAGTGCAGAGTCTGTAGTACATGTTATACGGGAGGGCCTAGTTCGGAGGCTGTAGTAGATGTTATACGGGAGGGCCTAGTGAAGAGTCTGTAGGAGATGTTTTACGGGAGGGCCTAGTTCGGAGGCTGTAGCAGATGTTATACGGAAGAGCCTAGTATGGAGTCTGTAGTAGATGTTATATGTGAGGGCCTAGTGCAAGGTCTGCAATAGATGTTATACGGGAGGGCCTAGTGCGGAGGCTGTGCTATATTTGCTTCTTGGTCGATGCGACTGTCTTACACACGTTTATAGTTAGAACATGATCTTGCTGTAGGCAGAATAATTGTCGATACGGGTCATTCTCAGTTTAACCCGAATTGCTTTCCGATAAGCCGCTGATTGTGCAACTTGAAGCGTTCGCATGATTATTAGATGTCGGCGCCGGAGTATGGCATGGATCTAAAGACGAGTCGATCCTCACGAGAAAATACCTTGATGAAATACAATCAAATTAACTTTCCGCATGTCCGTGTCTTTAGGGTTAAATGTCGCAGAAAACGTATTGACTGGCGTCTAGGTGTTATAATCAAGCATTGAGACGAGTTTTTTTTTTTTTTTTTTTTTTTTTTTTTTTTTTTTTTTTTAAGACGACATGTCATGCTGTCATCAAAGAGAATGCTTTATGTCAACCATGATTTTTTTAAAAATCTGGGTAGTATCGAATAACCACTCTTCACATATGATAATATTTCAAATACATGTAAACTACAATGTATGTTCAAATAAATGGAATTATGTTCTACTCTGCAGATGCATCTGACAGTTGACAGATTGGCAATTGTAACAATACACCAGTAAAGTTATCAAGTATACAAACCGCCTTTGCGTTGGCGTCCTTTAAAGAATACTAATAAAATCCCCTTTACCCTAAACGGCGTTCTTTCTACGTCCTTTGTGCGACCATAAAAGTGGCATTGCTGGTCGTAAAAAAGAGACACAAGCATCGTTTTGGTTGCAAAATGAGTGCTCAATGATCGACCAGTTCTCGGCACGTAAAGTGCTTTTTTTTTACTCTCAAACAGGGTCGTACTACCGGACGCAGAATGGACGCCGTTCAGTGTAAAGGGGGCTTTACTAATGTGGCTGTCTTATTTTAGATAGACTAAAGTGACAAAGAGTGACTATTTGATGAATTCTCATGTTTTTGCTTATCATATAAAATAAGTCTTTGAGCGAGTCTACCAGGTGCACGACAGGTTGCGTGTTTGGGTTTATCAAATGGCGTAGGTCGACTGATACGTGACGTGTTTTTTCTGTGTTTAGCACGTTCAGATCGAAAGGCTGGTTATGCCATCGATCTGTCTCAAATGGGTTCAGAGAAATGCGCGGCACTACCATCAAATTGCCTAACGAATTCGTGGAATTTTATACTTTTGTCGCTTAGAAATCGAGCCTTTGTCATTTTGTGTTAAGGATCACGGTGTGCATGGCTACCCATGTTGATCTGTGTAAAGATGCATCTACATGTAGATGATGGCTGACAAAAGATCTGTTTTGATTCGAATGTAGAACATGTAGCACACGTGACCCTCATTCAGCCTCTGACCTGACCTGACCTGGCATGACCTGACATGACCTGACATGACTTGACCTCATATGACACCTGCATCATTACCTCATCATATACCTAGCATTGGCACTTCCTCGCCTGGAAAGAATTTCGCCAAAATCAATTAAGTCAGCGAGCGGAATCCGCACGGCAGTTTCGGTTCGTAGAAATCATGACTCCGAGATAATTAGATTCGACTCCTACTTATCTACTGGCGTTTCCATTGGGGTCTAATCGATCGTTTCCGTCGCATTTCCTCTCGCTCAAGTCCCCTTACTTGTTAATCATTTCTGTTTCTAGGAATTAGCTTCTATCTACAGTGATATTATGCCGAGAGGGTGGAGTATGTTGGGTAAGAGAACCGGAAAAAAGGGAAATTCCTGCAAGCCACAGGCCAGTGATTTCTTTTATTCATCTTTAGTGAGAGGGAAGGCGATGGCTACGAGCGAGGCAGGTGTCCTCACTGACCTACCGACCTGGTCATCCAGGGTTAAAAAAACAGCAGCGTAAACTGTTCACTTCCGTGTTACTTGTATTTTTACAAAACCTACGCGACTGCACAAGGTCTTTCCGTCCAGATAATATACATGAGAAATTCCATTTAAGTTGCTGTGGCAGAAACAGTGACCGTTTATTGCCCCTAAATTAAAGCCGAATGAAGATTACCCAAGGGTAGTTGTTATTCAAATTGCCTCGAAAATTGAAGTAGTCCGTAACTGGCCAAAAGGCAAATTTTAGTATTCTACCGTATATACACTTTACCATGTCCCTTTCTAGAAGGACTGAATAAAGCTTCACTGCTTAGTATACATTGTATGCTCTGGTGTTCAATTGAAGGTTTCAGTCATTTGGTCGTTTAGAAACCCCTATGTCATTTAAATATTGCTTAAATAATGAGAGAAAATACATTAAATTTTTTATTACGTAATTGCCGGAGGTAAACCTTAATCCGTATAATGTTATTAGTGTAGTGTTAATTTTTACCAGTGCCGAAAGATGAACACTATATATGCGTCAGATTGCTAGCTAAACTCACTAAATTATAAAAGTTAAAGCAAATGTGTTGATACTGGTCTTTCAAGAGGCATTCAGTTTTTCTTGTAAATGTGGAATACCATTTTCATACCTAGAAAAATCATCGCATTCTCGATGCAAAAATCATATTTCTTTCACCCTTCACTCCTCTCTCCCTTCAATAAAATAAAAGTCAAGATACAAAGCTTGATATAAGTGAAAGGATTATACGCATCCTATTACGATGTAATACTGGCATCCATATTGCTATCTAACAGCCTTACACTGGCTGTAAGTAAGATGTTATCGCTACTAAACAGTGCTCTTAAAATTGCAGTTTGGACTCGCGTGTAGGCCATGTGATTGCCGTCAAAACACAACATGAAAGGTTTGTTTCTAAGCTGTGATACATTTGCAAAAGGTGGTTTGGGGATGGTTCAAATGTTGGTTAGCTTTAATTCATTATCATTTTAGTTCTGTTCTGCTACCTACATTGTACGCTGGCCAAACATTGGTGCCTGTATCCAGATTGCAGATAGATAGATAGATAGATAGATAGATAATTAATTAAATAGATATTCACAGGGAGCGTGCTGTTACCTTTGTGAAAACGCTCTGATTGTTCGAATTGCAATAAAAAAATACGCATTCAAGAAATACACTTTCAACAAATACGCATTCAAGGAATTTGTAATTTACTACAACCAATTGTAAGTACTGTATATTCCACTCGCACAAGGAAAGCGCTGAGATATGCCCAGAATGTGGTGTGTTGAAAAATCTGTAGAAAAATGCCAATCGCGTGGTCAGATATGTTCATGTAGCCCATTCTTCTCTGATTGGTTTGGACTTCAAGGAAACTTAAAGTGAAGGAAAATAAAGTTTGGCAGTTAGGGGCCAATTAAACAATAAAACAACGTTTTATGTCAAGAGCATGTACACAAATAGTCAAACAGTATATCTGTTTCAGCTTTATATTTAATTCGCTGGTGATACATGGATTTAAGTTTTCGTAATAAAGATCAATGGATGCTGGAACTGGTAAATAACCGTTACATGGTGTGTGCGGCAATAAGAAAGTAAATTGAGATGTATTAGCAGGACGTATGACCAGGTGATTACATTGTATACCAGTGTTTTCGAAGTACTGCTATAATTACACCGCCAGCATCGTCACCTGCGCAACTCGGAGCCCGAGTTACTCATCATCGCGCAGCAAGCGCTCCGTGTTGTAAATCAACACTGAAGAGCGGAGAAGAAGCATGCGAACGATTTCTCCTCTTGCAGCTGGTGCGCCACGAGTTCAGTTCAGATTTCTAAGAAATCGGTGGACATTCGGGAGTTGAGAAGGCCTAATTAAACATTAGATTGGCTAATTTGGACTACTTGGAATTATTGATAAGGCTTGTTAAGGAGTCCAAACAGTGGTTAACACGTAAGATTGGGTTCTAGGAGGGCTGTTATGATAACTGTGATATATTTGTCTTGAGAGCTTAGTAGCAAGCCAGTGTAGTTGACATACGACTGATAAATGGGGTAGTTACCGACTGAACACGGTCGCACTGATATTAATTCCCCTTTGAAATGAAGACAGAGAAACCTGAATTCTTGGATCCACTAACGCACAACTCGCACGGGGAGCGGAAAACAGTAACGACGCTCCGCCGACGGCGCATTCCTTAAAAGCGGCACCAATCGCGATCACATTGGAACGTCGCTTTTCAATTTTCGGCTACTGCCCTTAGGCACGGCCACATACAGCACCATGGCTAACTGTTCAGCAAATGTCACCTGCTACGTGGACTTGACACCGGACTTTGGCTTAATGCTTAGGAGCGTCACCTTAGGCATGGTCCTGTTTACCCTTTGCCTTTTTACCGCCATTGGCAATGCAGGAGTACTGTACGCAGTAAAAACGGAAAGGCGACTTCAAACAGTAAGTCACTTTTTATTGCACATTTAGCCGGCCGTAAGGTCGGGACCCTGAGACGTGACTTAACGTAAAAGGACAATATGTCAGTTGTAAACGGCCAACGAATGTAAACTGTCAGTACACCGAGTCTTTGTTAAGGCAGAGAAATTGTAGGAAGGGCTCTAAAACGTATATAAAACTGCGCAAGTCGTCTCCGATTATTTATCACTGTGTATATAGTTAAAGTAAAAGAACTGCATATTTTTTGTGGCACGAGTAAAATATTTTGATCCATTTAATATAAATACCGCCAACCCTAGACTGCTAGAAGCTTTTTTAACGTCATGAAAGCACTGAGTATTCATGGAAATCATTACATTAAGATGTTCACAGATTGCGCGTATCACATTAAATATCATTATCCGGTTTGTTTTATTCATATCATCTCGTTATTTGTTCGAAGCTATCGATATCCCAAGTCAAACTGATAGGAATAGGCCCTTTATAACGAAACAACAGGGAATGCAAAGCGAAGCCACGTTCAGGGGGTAAAATAGAGCAAACGCAAAACTCAAAATAGCACAAAAATTGATTTGCGTAAGAAAGGTGAATTGCGAGTCATAGATCGGAAACTTTTATATATTTAATTAATGAAATTATCATTAGTGTGAATGGAACAGGTCGAGCATCAGCTGCAACATCCGCATCTGATGCGCTTTCGTTCACCATATCACAGCAAATAGATTACCATATGACATTTGAAAAGACCCATTGTCTTGACGTCATCAGACGACATGGATTCGAAAAGGTCAACACATATCAAAAACAAACCCAACGTAATTGTCACAAAAGCATGAGCAATCAACCAAAGCTAATAAGTAATTTAATATGTTTGTGTGAATTTATTAAATGCAAAACATCATCATTCATGAATAAACTGTCATATGCGTTGTGTAGTTAATACGTTAACCTGTTTTAAAGTTCACAATCAATACTAGCATCACGCAAAGAACCGACAATTAATTCCAAGACAACATGGAAGAACCGATTGGAAACATTTCTTTAGAGACAAACCTCTGCCTCAACTTTAAAAGTCGCAACGAGACCTTCACTATAATCAGTAAGAACCAGTCAAACACTCAGATCCGTCATGGGTTTCCCATATAGAACCGATTAATCGCTGGTGGACATGCTATTAAAATCAAAGGGCGCACTTCGAAAAAATCGGCGCGAAAAGATTCGCTCATTGTTGTCTAATATCATAGCCGCCACAATCGACTTTGCCCAAAGCCCCAGAAACGTTCATGATTGATTCAGTCAGTTACTGTTATTTCCATTGCTTGACAGTTAAGCAACAGAAGCCAACTTTGGGTCATAAAAGTGCAATCACGAACATAGCATAACAGGGTATTACCTGGCCACCCAAACATGCAGAATAGAAGCCATGGAGCCAATGGATTCTTATGTAGTTTTGAGATATCTCACGTTTCTTGGTGAGAAGTGAAGTTATCTTAAATACTGACATAAACGCTGAGGAATCCAAGTTCTTAAACCATTTCAATGGATGACAGGGGGAAATGCACGAACGGTGCCAAATGGTTAGAGCGCGGTAGGGGACAGTGGCCGTGCCGCTTTGCTGACAATTGTCATATTTGATTTTCAGCAATTAGATAATTAAACGACGAAATCTTCTACCTATGTACTGGAAGTTCCGATCCCATAAGTCTTACGACAATAGTTCAACCATTAATGTAACCAGTGTTCTCCTAAGGACATATAGCTAACGGCAAACGAGCTGCATATCTCAACTACTTAGAGCCAAGGCCCTTGTACACTTCCGCTGTCAAACAATATTCATGTTTCGTCTTCTAGCATTTTACTTGATCACGAAAAATGAAAGAAAATCCCTTTTTAATCTCCAGGCAATTGACATCTGCATTTGCTATTCTAGTGTCTCCGGGTCTGATAAATGTCAATAGGTTCTAATACGTCAACTTTTTTTAGAAATGATTCATTGCAAAACGGCGGATTCGGACGACACGTCTGCTTTATAGAAAACAGAGTCACATAACGCTAAAGACATATTAATTCATTGTTTTGAACACGACCGAGAGAACAGAACTGATGAGATTTCACATTTGCAGTTGCTTTCATTGTATAGCCCAGGGGGGATAGCCTTTATTGACAACAGAAAAACCGGATCCTTCTCGGTTTTGCTGACACCGGATCTACTCTCCCTCAACACCATTGTATATGCACCATCTGAGCCACCAAATAACTGTTGTGTACGGAGGAAACCGCCTTCGAGCCATTGTATGTCGAAACTGTGATTTATGATGCAACGAACGTTAAAACCAGCACTAGCAAGATCTGCAAACACATTTAATTGCAATTATTGATATGCTTTGCTAGTCAATCCAATATTGATGAAGAGTTCCTGTCACCCAAGAGTCACTCAGAAGCTTGTTAATTATGCAGCACCTGTGGAATGACCCGTCTCTTTGAATTAACGAGCGTGTCACTTGTCACCTAATAACAAATTTAAAATCATATAATTGTTTTGGGTTATGCAAAATGTATAGGGGCCCAGAATTAATTAAAAAAAGATTCGTTTAAATACTAATACATACTAGTAAACAATCACAGCGCATGTATTTGAGTTAAGGCCAAAAAGATTGAAAAAAAATGTGTTAATTGACCGACACAGCTGCCATCATAGGAATGAGCAAAATCGTTTCAAGTCAATCAATGCGGATGATGGAGTAGTAAACAGACATGTACAGTGTAACAATAAGATGTTCCATGATATGCTAACCGAGATTTCGCGACAAATCTAAAAAAAGCAATAAGAAAAACATTTGTCTCCAAAACACGAAACAGCGTTGATCCTATCATGCACCTGGATTCGAGATCTTATATAATTTCTAATTACCTAACAAAGTTCTTAAAATTTGCCCTGACATTTCACACGCTGTAGTCTTCCTGGCATTTCAGATGGAAATATTGACACAAGGTACTTCTCTTTTATGGGTTTTATCATTGACAATGCCTTAACTAGGCAAGATAAGCAGCTCTTTAGGCTATGTACACATTGAAAATAAGAAGTTATGACATTTTTAAAAGCGCATAAAATACCTTCAAGGTGCGTAACTCCACGCCAGGTATAACGATGTGGATTTTCTGCTCACAGCGCTTATTTCGCTTCAGTATAATTCCGTAGTTCAACGAGCCCTTTATAGCCACGGTTTTTGTTTTTTATATTACTTCAATCTATACGAATTTAATTCGAAATTCGAGCAGTCATATGTGTGTTTTTAAACATTAAATTTTTCCCTGGTGTGTCCGTGTACAACGTGTAAAACTGATTACATGGCATTACATGGCACGCGCAGAAGCCAGACCACGTGACCTGACGTGATTAACGTTTTTTATCGGTTGAATGGTATATCTTTTCACTTCAATTTTACTTACGAGTAATTTGCCCTCTGAAGATTCAAGCAATTGCCAATTTATGGAGAAGCTCTCTTGCAAATGGCAGATGGAAAGTAATGTAATGTAATCGGTCCCATGACAAAAACTAATCGAATTCACGTAACAGGTGCATCTAAAAGAAACCTGTGTTCTTTTGCACGCATAACCTTTTTACCAAACTTCCCCGAGACCAAACTCCACAGAGATTAACATCTCATTTTTCAGCGCGTCCGCCGAGTGACAGTTTAGACCTTTACTCTGATTAATCCTCCTGAGTGAACGTGTTGACAGATGTGACAAGTGACGGAAGTCACCGGTACGTGACAGTCCCAATGTCCGTAATGATTCCTCCGAGAGACGTATTGGATAATTGATAGACCTGGCTAGACAATGCTCTAAATACTGTAAATGGCAGACGGAAAGTCGACTTACCAAATGACGACTATTAGGACTATTAAGTAATCCGCTAGAGATAAGACTTTTGATTAATTAATTAATTAAGGTATACATTATGTGTGCGTCTTTTTGGTACAGTGCTCCCAATGTTCGACACAAAAACGGGTGCTTTTTCTGATATTGCCAACGTTTTTAGTCATTGTGGTAGTCTACGCCAACTTTGGCGTGTGTTGAAACAGGAGAAAAACTAGCACTATGTATGCCAATTACTGTACTTTCCATACGTCTGTTTGCACGCTCCATTCGGGCGTTTCTCCCTACCTGCTTGCGCGCTTACTTATATATTGCAGCAGTCGGCAAGTAATTGACTATGATTCCAAACCTTTTTCTCCTCATGCAATGCATGTGTGTTACGACAAGATTAGACGCTTTCCAGTTCCTATACCATCTAACGCACGACTCCCCAGAGGAATATTGACTTAATTACGAAGTTTACAGAAGCTATTTGCTTATCTAAACGTACTGCTGGGGACACCCGCTAGCTTCTGGTTTAATTAACACTAGAGATATCTTCACAGTGGTGACGGCTCAAATGTCTGGATGGGTAATTCAAACGAGATGACGAGATGGCGAGAGAGAGAGAGAGAGAGAGAGAGAGAAATGAAATGGTACGTTCCGATGTTTGTTCAATCAAAGACACCATCGGACAGAAAATCGGGAGTATCGGTGTTATTGGGCGATACACAATCTCAGAAAACCTAAATGAAACCTTAATTACCCCCTACCCTCTGCCACAGGCACAGGGGGATTGTATTCACTTGATAGTCACAAACACTGCTTTGGCTGATTCCCTGAAAATGTTGACACAAAAATGATGCCATTATATTACCCTTGGTAGATAGCACCTTCCCGCATGCAGATTGAGGTATCCACCCTGTTTGATAGGACTGGGTCGATCTGGGTCTGATTCTGGTTTCATGAATCCATAAGCAATCGATTGTTGTAATAATACTAGTAAGCAGCATTTACCACCAAAGTTGATCCGCGGACTAACAGAATCGCGGGTCAAATGTGCCCGAGCCACTTGGAAGCTTGCCGTGTATAATCTCCTCATGGAATCTATTCAGTATCTATTAGGGGATCATGCGGCAAACTTT